GCATCAATTTTTAGTATGTGTGTTTTCATGCTGGGGGGTCTAGGACAACTGATCATGGGATAACTTATCACGGACAACTGATCATGGGATAACTTATCACGGACAACTGATCATGATCATCTGATCATGGAAAAACTGATCATAGACAACTGATTATAAGGGACAACTGATCTTGAACAGTTGATCATAAACAATCGTTCGATAATTGATGATTGTCATTTATTTCCAAACAAAAAAGAACAGAAAGAAAGGAAGAGAGATCAATTAGAAATTGAAATTGAAGGCAAGAGACCTGAGATAGACTAGAGGTTGGGTTGTGTCGAATTTTTTAACAATATTCTTGATTCTTGCAGCAGCATCCGCATATTTCTTCTGAGGGCGGTTCTCTCGACCAGCTGCAAAGGTCCCTTGTATCGCCGCATTCAGAGCTTGTTCCGAGCGTAGAAATTCGATGAACTTCCAGATGTTTGGATGGACGGCGTCCAGTGATCCAGAAAAGGCACGATGCCATCGCTCAATGCTGTTGGTAGTCTTTGGCTCCTCTCCCAAGCTTTCATTATAGACATTCCACAGGTCGTGTGTATAGCGTGGATTTCTTCGTCGGTTGCCACGGCGGCGGCCAATATAGTTGTCGCCGTGGTAGGCAAGGATCGGCTTTACTTCATCTGGCAAGGCGTCCGACAACAGCTCGAAGTACTCGCACACACGGTTGGTGGGAACAAAGGCAATTGCCGGAATCATACGAAGTTGAGTGGCGAACTTCTCATCCGTTCCATAGCGCACAGCAAGTCCATTATTTTGGATTTGTCGCCAGACTACTTGACAATGGTGAAAGTAACAACCTTGAATGAGCGATTAATGAATAATGTGTCGTCAAGAATACCAATAATAGGGAAAAATTACCTTTCATTTGCACTCCGATAAAGACTTTTTGAAAAGCATTGATAGCAGCCAGTTCGAAATCGATGTACATCTTTGTCGGGGCCAAAGTTGGGCAATGATGACGAAGTTGTTCCAAGACTCTTCTGTATGCCATACCAGTGCGTTCTGACATCAGAATATAGACTACTGGGATGTACTGGAAACCTAGCTTGATATGAATGGTGTACAATTGCTGGAAAAGAGGTGGGGCAACGCTGAATGTTCCGTCTGTAGCCGAGCTTGGCGAATCTCTGAGAGCTTCCAAGTCTTTTTGAGTCGAGAATATCAGAGTCCGCTGTTGACCAGGGCCAGAATCATTGAGCAAGAACAAATCGCCGTTTTTAAGATGTTGATACTCTTCAGGAATTTGGAAACCCAGAAGGTTTTGAGGCATCACTGGAACGTTGGCGATTCCTTGTCGATTTCGGCGAATATTCCGGGCCATATTTGAGATGGAAACTGACGCAGCAACTGGCTCGCTCACATGTTGCAGCTCTTCGGCGATGATTCGACGTCTCGGCTCCTGGCTCGATACAGCCCGTTGCTTGACTGCGTTGGCCAGTTTTACTCGATTAACCAGTGTGGGATCGCCGGCATGATTGTGAACATCGAACACCTATATAAGACACAGTTGGTTATTAATGTTGGATTTATGAAACATACCTCTTTGATAGTTCCGTTCTGGACAACAACTCTTCGCTTGCATGATCCCGATGTCTTCTTGTGGCAATCGCAACGATAGAAGATTTTTCCTTCATCAGATCGGCGATACTCCGTATGAAGCCATCCATCATGAACAAGCTTGCCAGATCCACGTTGACTTTTGACGAATTGGAGAGTCATATCGAGCAACGTGAATGACGACGAAAATTCTGATGATAAATGATAAGATAAAATGACTATAACATTGTCTTTTATATGATAAATGATAACAATGATCTCATGACTCTTCATGATCAATTTTCCTTTATGATCAGTTATTCATGATCAGTCGTCCGCCGTGATCAGTTATCTGTCATGATCAATTGTCCGTGATCAGTTGTTCCATAATCAATTTCCTGTGATCAGTTGTCCGCTCACCCATGCTGGGTTGTATAGCCAGTAAAACGCCACGCTGGCTAGGCGGGTTGGTGAGTGTTTGTAATCAGAGTTTTCTCTCTTAGATGAGTTGCCTATCATGGCTAAGAGCCTCATCTGCCCTTGGTTTTAAATCAGAGTTTTCCTTCTCTTAGGTGATCTACTAATCAAGGCTAGAGAGCTCCACCTACCCTGGCTAAGGCTTATGAAACTTGGTTCGGGTGAACCTTGCCTCTGGCGGCCTATACTCGCCATGTCATATTGTCATCTTTGGATTTCTGTAGCATTTTATAGGTGTTTTAGTGCCATCCAAAATCCCACCACATCCTGATGACAAGGTGCCTGGATTGTCCGGGACTGTTTATTTGATAAATGCTTGATCTTATTCGCAGCTAACCATCATACTAATGGCCGTTCCACTATCCGCAACCTGTCGATCCGATTGGTAGCACTCAGCTTAGCCCCAAGGATGATCATAATGATACGTCAATTTGAAATTATATTGTTGAACAAGATATTGGAAATATTCATGATATATTTGATGAGACAACAGATGAATTTATTGGTGACAAAGGATTTAGAGATGCTGATGATGAAAGAATCACAGTTCGAATACCACTTTCATTACAAAAAGGACAGACTCGACTATCAATACGAGATGCAAATACAAAAAGAAAAATTACTAAACTTCGAAATTGTATTGAACGCGGATTTGGCAGATTGAAACAATGGAAAATTATTGGCTCTATTATTGATACTAATTTAATTTTTAAAATTGGTTCACTATTGAAAATATTAGGTGCAGTGGATAATATATATTTGGAACTATTATTTGTTCCAACTAATAATGATGAACAAGATATTAATTTTATTAAACACCGTGAAGTTATACAAAATGTTTTAGAAGATTTACCGACGAATCAATGGATTACAAGGCAACTCCAGGATGTTGTTCATTTCATATCACCATTAAGTTTAAATGTTATTCGAAATTATGGATTAGGTGAATATGCATTGAAATTAGCTATTCCATATTTACAATATTCTTCGACCATATCAATCAAAACATATAAATCAAAACAATATTCAAATATTATTAAAATAGAAGGTATAACATCAAGATATTCCAAAAAAACGTCACCCAAACAGCACAAAATATTTTTACAATTTGTTAATGATAATGATGATGAAGAAAATGATGTTACATTATCAAACAATTATAATAATAATCATAATGAAATATCATTAGATATTAAAGGTATTAATTTGTATTGTTCATGTAAATCAGGTGCACGTACGGTTGAAGCGTGCGCACATGTAATAGCAGCTCTGTATTGGTTATATTCTAACACTAATGGTGTACCAATACTAAATTATAGTGCTAAATCAGTTGCATTGCAACAAAATATCACAAATCTGCAACCGTTCAATCAACACCGACGACAACAAAAAGCTGACAATATTGATGTTATTCCAGATAATAATATAAGTGATACTGAGGAAAATGAATCCTGCAATAGTAAATTCGTCGAAGATTGTAACAGAAAAAGAAAAAAGCTGAATAATTTTTTTATGCTGTACAAAAAAACCTGTTTTTTAATAATAAATTAATCATGATGTTTACGTAGATGTCTAAGAAACCATGAAGTCAAATGAAACTAGAACACATGAAAATACTAAAAGAAAGAAAATCAAATACCAAAGTCTGGCTGCTATTTGTATATAGAATAGGAGTACTAAAACGAAAAATTAAAATAATTGTTTCCTATTATATTAAACAACAAAGTGGGGTTACGAATCTATGTAAAAAAAATCCAGATCAAATAAATTTGGAGTAACATGCAAGCGTGGAGCGATGTGCAAAGAAGAACCAAAACTTTGTTTAAATATATGCCTATCTAAACACAGAAGTAATTATCAATAACGACATCAAATCGAATCAGAGCTTGTACAACAACATCAAGACAACACATACCAATATACAGTTGATTTGGAGAAAGTATTTGCCATTGATAATGTGACTCGTGGGGAATAAACAATGAATCGTAGAATTGGTATATTTCATCATTAACAAACAAATCGACAAATCGTCATAATATAATTAGTACATAATGACTCTCTCTTACTATATGTGAGTCATCTACAATAAAAATATGAGTCATAGAAATGAGAAGAAAAAGAAATTTATCTATCATGAGAATGCAAGATGTTGATATTGAAATAGAGGAAGAAGACCAATAGCCCATAATTCCTAGCAGTTTCACCATTCTGCAGTCTAACTATCATATGGTTAATATTAAAAAGAGAAGAAAAAGAAATTAAAATAAAAATAAAAATATACTCATATACGACATCCAACGAAGATAAAAATTTAATTGTAGAAACTTCATGTCCTTATTTTATTCAAATAAATATTATATAAATATTATAACTAGTTCAAATGGTCTGTTTTTATTTCATTTTAATTTTTAAATCAAGATATACAAAAATTAATAAATAAATATATATATTGAAAACACAAAATAGTCAAACAATTAAAGGGTGAATGTCCAACAAAGAAGAAAAACAAGTTCAATTTTGACTATATGCATACGATTGTTTTGCGCACATTGTGATGCTTTTTTTTCGTATCAGTATCATATCTGTAGGAAAGATGGATAAGAGAACAAGCAAAAAAAAACAAGATAAGGCATGACAATATCCTCATTGTCATTGCATGCATACTTTGATATTCAATGGATACTTTGTGCAGGGATATTTCTTGGCTATACGAATGACGAATGAAAGAATAAGCAAAACCATTGTTGAATTTCCCACTGAAAAAAGGTATGTGGGAAAATTGTTATCATCATTTTTCGCGATACAATTCGCTGCGCGAAGGAAGACGAATTTCTCAAGTATATATACGCAAGAATGTGCTGTAGTTTAAACACAGAAGAATATAGACACTACAGTGTTTTTCTCATCGTGGTCAAGCAATATTCTCTACGAATACAACTAGCAAATGTATGTAAATATGATATTGTAGCCTACTTTGTTCTTTTCAGTAATATGTTCAGAGGAGACTTCTCTGTGTTAAAGTAGTACCATTTACAATATATAGTGTTATTTTTTTACCATGGTAGTTATTTTCTGGCGGCAAAAATTTGTTAAAATCCTTTACGAAATCAACAGTAGCGATCAGCTACTGTAAAGCCAATCGTCAAACGAATCTGTACTCATTATTGTCAATCTGGTTTGTGACTTCCACTTTAGAAATCAAACTGTTCTTAGTTATATTTTTTAACCATTTGAAACAATTCAGTTTCACGGAAAATCAAATAAGATGCTGCATAGAAAATAAGTTCTCCATAATCTTTAGCAGACACGATTCTCATTCAGTTTAGGGATGACACTTTACCTATACTCTCCTTTATGATAAAGGATATAGATAAATACATATCTAAATAAATAAATAATTATCATTTATTTTTTAAAGCTAAATGAATCCTTTATCTTTAGAAAATAAAGACAAAATAAAGGCATAAAGAATTTTCTTATGAGAGATAATTCAGTAGAGCAAATTCTAAGTTGAAAGTAATCGAGTTGTAATTATTTCGCTCTAGTTGATTTTTTTCCACCTAGGATCCCCTCAGATTTTGAGAAAATTTTTTATACACCGTTCTATTCAAATTCTTAATAGCTCAATATCAATAAGTGTGCTGATTACAAATATCGTATTTTTTTCACAAGTATTCATATGATAACAAAGATCAGAAGTACTCTCTGGAAGCATTGAAACGAGTTTTTGATGTGAAAGTCCAGTAAAACTCGAATACGATTCACCAAACCAAGTCCATTTAATGCAGAATTTTTGTCTTCGCCTAAATATTTGAGATAGTCTTAGATTGTCAAGTTTTTATTGTTGATAAATGCCGAATATTGTCTAACTGAATAGTATTGTTACGAAAAAAATAATCTTTCGAGTTTTATGTAGTTATAGTTTCTTCGGATGCACCAGCGCGATTTCTTTTTATCAAATATATGATTCAATGTGCCTTTCATGAGATCATTTTCAGTTTGAAGCTGGATATCTAGTAAAGTACTTTTGCTCTAATCACTTTTCTTGACAGTGAATTTACACTTTTTTGACTAGCATTCGACGACTTTCATACACAGCAAATCTCTTTTGACTCCATACGAATCTCATATTTAATAGCATCAAGGAAAACTACGCAAACTTATGCATGTTTAAAATTGTTTCAGAGAGTATTTGTTCAGTCGTATTCAGACACCCGCTTCTCCCAGGGATATATGAAAAAATGAATTTCAACAAAATAACTATTTAAATATCTAGATGCTTCGGATTATATCTCAAAACTATATTTTACAAGTTCGGAACTGTGTTTCCAGTAGCCATCTTTTTTTTTGATGAAGTTCGTCTTGGGATATATTCCTGAGAGGAACCACAAGTAGAAATTTTGTGAAAAAAAACTCGCTGAAACAATTGTAAATATGCATAAGTTAACTTAGGTTTTCTGGATATTGATAATATCAAATATGAGATTCGTCTAAAGTCAAAAAAGGTTTGTTGTGCTCAAGAAATCGACTGATTAGCACTCCATCATTTTCTGTTCGGCGATATTTTTGGGCAAAGTGGTGATTGTTCATCCAAAGAATATTCTATGGAGAGAAGTCTTCCTCTTTCGAATAGGCCTTCTCAGTTGTATTTGGAACATGTTTCTGAACGAATCCGTCCACAAATTACTGTCTAGAAGAAATTTTCATGTAGGAGAGAAAACCTAATCGGTAGGTCGAGAAACAATGAGAGTCTCGATATTTTGCCATTGTTTCTCTCTATTTTTGTCGCTCAAATGGGAGCTGTTTTTCTGAAAGAGTCAGTGTCCAATTTTGCACAGATAGTATGTTGCACTAAATAAATAGGTCTTCTTCGATCTTGAGAGAAAAAGATAATTAGACAGCAAAATTATCTATCACGTTTAAAATAATCAAGTTTTGCAAATAATCATTTTTCGCAAGAGCAGTTTGATTACCTTTAGCGGTATATTTTTTTCAATCATGCTGAGGCAGGTTCTTCGGTGAATTCAGTCAGTTTCGTTTCTGTCAACAAGATTTAAGGAGTTCGGATTTAAAGAATCAGTAACAAAGATGCTCTGGCGAAATGAAAAGGATTTACCGATGAACTCGATCAAGTTCTTTCTCCGAAAAATGTTGGAATAGGTTAAATATTTTGAAAGTGATTGATAATGCTGCTATCTAATTACTTTTTTCTCTAGAGATCAAATAAGATCTATTTATTCAGTACAACATACCGTTTATGCAAAATATCGAACTGAATCTTTTAGAAAAACAGCTCATGTTTGCAGCGACAAAAATTGACAGAAATAATAAGAAACTACAGAGATCTTATTCTTCATGGTTCATCCAGGGTTTTTGATTTCTCTCGGATTTATTTGTAGGAGATATCGAGAAGCGGTCGTCACCATCGGTTAAAAACCGTCGACTTCTATTTGGAACATACGAAAAAAATATTGAAAGATGTTTTTGGACGAATTCGCACCTAAAAAGGTGGAATCTGATCCTAAAATATCGTAAGTCAAAAATTTTGAATTTCTGATATCTGATGTAAACAGAAAAAGAATAGCGCTTTCCGATACAGTTGCCGTCGAAAACATAGAAAGATAATATTTTAAATCTTTAGATATGCAATTTTTGCTCACGATGAAGGATAGTAGGTTTCTAGTATTTAATTCAAATGTTGATATTACGAGATCATGTTAAGTAGAGTCCTGTTTCCAATTTAGGCACCTATAGTACACGCTCAGTATGTCTGAAATTATTTATCTATTACTCAGCAGAATCCATTGATTATATTTGTGTTTTTTTATGTTGAACTGATGCTAGAGGAGCGATTATAAGTATGTAAATCAAGGGGGAAACAGCGGACTTTTGGACTTGAAGTTACTTTGAGCTACTTTAAGCTACTTCAAGTTATTTTCAGCTACTTGAAGTAGCTTACTTTGAAGTACTTTTCAACTTCAAATTGACTTCAAGTTACTTTAAGCTACTTGTTCCTACTTTGCGCAACTTGGTTGGTACTTTTAACTATTTCAAGTAGTCTACTTTGACGTACTTTGGCGTACTTTTCTACTTCAAGTACGCTGTTCCCCCTTGATGTAAATATCAACTATCTGTCTTGAAAACATTCACTAGAAGACCCGAATTCAGAATCTGCAAACCTAAGGAAACATCTAACAATGGAGAGACCTATAGTATAAGGCAAGTTGATTGACTATGTTCGGGTCAAATCAGCACATTCACCGAGAAACTAACAATTTTGAAATATGAGCCGCCCTTAGTGTGTATCGAGAGAGATATTTGAATTTTTATGTATTTACCATATATGTTAGCTATCCACAGTCTAAAATTTCATTGTAATTAATGTATCTTTCTTCGTGATGGTTAAATAGAGCTCGTTAAAAACGCATTAGAAAAAGTATGTTTCAAATTTAAAAGTGAAATGAATAATAAACTTAACGAAAGCTAGAATTTTGTGTCGTTTTGCCATTATATTTGAAGCTAATTCCATCTTCAGTGTTTTCATGGAGCTTTTTTCGAATTTGAAACACAATTTTTCTAATGCAACTTGACGAGCTTCATCCAACCATTACGACAAAAATACATGAATTGTGACGAGATTTTAGATCGTGGTTAGCTAACATATGTGGTAAATATATAAAATTCGAATATCGCTCTCGATACACGCCAAGGGTCGCTCATATTTTTAAATTCAATACTTTCTTGGTGAGATTTTTCAGCCGACCAAAGTGTGGATTTATGTGAGTGTAACGCTTCCTCCATCCATTTTATCATTTTAAGTTTGTATTCTGTACGTGACTCTTTTTTCAACTTTCTTTCTGCTTTGTGTGTTGTTTCAATTATGATGACTTCATCCGTTGTCTTCCACTCCCTACCCCGAATACAGCAAAGCATAACGAAGGGAGAAACTTATTCTCCGGTTGTCTTATCAATATGTGGTTAGATTTGCGATATAAAACCAGGTCGAATCTTCCAATTTTCTAAAAAAAAAATATCACTCACAACACCATCAACACTCACAATATATATTTACAGCAGAGCTATCGACATAGAAGATGAAGATTACCGTATGCGCCGCTCTTATATTTCTCACGATCACAGCGTGTTCCAATGCACGCCCGACGACGATCGGCCAGTCTACTATTTCAGCTGCCAATTTCGTATCTCACGTGCCAAGCACAAAATCCTTTCATGAAGACACAGACAAACCGGATCAAATTGCCCTCAAATTTGTACAAGATAAACTCGGTCTCGCCGCGGCTGATGTCGTCGTCAAGAACATAGTCCCTTCCGACACGACAGGCATCACATCGGTATATCTGCGACAGAAATTCAAGGGTATTGAAGTGGTAAATGCCGACGTCAACGTCAACGTAGACCAGTATGTACCTATATTTCTCTCTGAGTCTTCTATTCTTAGAAAAAAGTAGTTCCTAACATCTTCAATGTGACTAGGGAAGGACGTATTATCAGCTATGGTGAAAATATTTTCCGCGGAGCACAACCAAATCAATCGTCTCTCTCTAAGGAATTGGCTGGCAATAGTCTGCCCAAGACTCCTGCAGACGGCTTCAACTCACTAGCTGCCTTCCTCAAGCTTCCCCAGGACAGAGCACTCTTGCAAGTCGAGCAAAGTGAGCAATCGATTGAGGAGGCAGCGCGCAACAACAGACCCGCATACATTATCCGTAGACCTGCCAAGGCCAAAACGGACGTGCCTGTGCGCTTCTCATACGTCCAGATCAACAACGGTTCGCGTCTGGAACTCGTATACTCGTATCAACTGCAGCTTCAGAACAACTGGTATCACGCCCACGTCAGCACAGACAGTGGAAAGATTTTGGGACTTGCTGACTGGGTGTCGGATGCCATTTACCAGGTGCTAGGCATCAATGTAGCTAATCCACTTGAGGGTAGCCGGAGCGTTATCAACGTGTCTCCCAACAAGAAAGCATCACCTTACGGTTGGCATTCCAACGGCATCTTATCGTATCTTGACACGCGTGGAAACAACGTCTGGGCACAGCAGAACACGAAGGAGAGTAGTAATATTAAGAATCTCTACCGCCCAAGTGGTGGTTCCAGCTTGAGGTTCCTTTTTCCATTCTATCAGAAACAAGAACCTACCGCAAGTAAGGATGCTGCCATCACTCAGCTGTTCCATACTACTAACTCTCTACATGACATCTTGTACCAGTATGGCTTTGACGAGATTTCTGGGAACTTTCAAGATAGCAATGGTAATAAGGGCGGCATAGGACATGATTTTGTCATTGCTAATGCACAAGATCAAGCTGGCATCAATAACGCAAACTTCGCTACTCCTCCTGATGGTCAAAGCGGTGTGATGAACATGTATCTCTGGAACCGAATAAGTCCTGGAAAAGATGGCATTTTCGAATTGGGTATTATCATTCACGAATACGGACATGGACTCTCCAATCGTTTAACAGGTGGCCCAGCCAATTCTGACTGCCTTAACACCGATGAGTCTGGTGGTATGGGTGAAGGTTGGTCGGACGTTTTGGCTGTAGTATTTCGCCAAAAGTCTGAAAACAAGCGTACAGACACATTCTTCATGGGTAATTACGTCTTTGGTGGTCAAGGAATCCGTAAGTTCCCTTACTCCACAAATATGATTCTAAACCCTTCGTTGTTCTCATACATCAACAAGCCTGACTATGCCGAGCCCCATGCCAAGGGTGAGGTGTGGGCTGCGATCCTGTTAGAAGCTTACTGGAACTTGGTTGATACTCTTGGCTTTACGCCTGACTTGTACTCTGCGTCCAAATTCAAGGGTAACACTCTTTTCCTACATCTGATGCTCAACGGTATGAAGCTCCAGCCCTGCAATCCTACATTCATCCAGGCACGTGATGCCATCATTCAAGCGGACGCAGCGCTTACCAAAGGAAAATACAAGTGCCAACTGTGGAAGGGCTTTGCCAAGCGTGGTCTCGGTTATACTGCTCAGGGTGTGAGTGGCAGTGCTAAGGACTGCTTCCAATTGGCCCCCGGATGCTAAAAGACGCACTAATGTTTTTAAGCTTTTTTGAGAACTGTCCAACGAAAAACAGACTGCCATGGATCTCATTTCAGTATACATCAATTTCATAATTATTATGATCAATGTTGATAACACTAGATCATATTATTCTCTTTTCTCATTTTTCTTTTCTTCTTTTGTATTATTTTCTTCTTCCTTTTTTTTTCGTTT